AGTTAAAGTAACACCTTGTTGAATTATATACTTTACCTTAAATGATCGATTGTGAGTAAAATAGTATACAAACCTCGCTGGTCAGTGGTTCATAACCAACGCCTCGCGCTTATACCTTAAGCCCTCGGGGTAGGTAATGAACCACCTCCCAGCTCGGTATGTAATCTACTATTCCCGGTCCCATTGATGATTCTTTCCGTGCGCTGAATATAAATACCCAAAATATTGCTTTAAAATACAAATTTACAGGGAAGGAAACTAATTTTCAGAACTCTATATGCGTTATAATGTTTCATATGTAAGTATTTTATGTTTTAATTCGTAGATGTTTGAATATTTAGATAAACTTCTTTGAGAATTTGTGACATTTTTTGACGTTTCGTCAACCTTATCTGAAATAAACTAATTAAACAAATCGCCTTTGAAATGATTTGAGAGTAACCATGAAAACGCATTTTCTATAACTGTTACAAAATAAAAATGTTAGCGAGTTTGTTGTTTTTTATGTTATCGATTTAAAAGAAGTATAATAAAAAATATCGTTCATTACACGTCCAGAAATGCTTTTTCCGTGCTTGCATGACTTCCCGCGTTCGGCTACGCCTCACACGGGAATTTGTCACGCGCGCACGGAAAAAGCCTGCTTTCCGGACTCCTAATGAAATATACTATTTCGCCCTAGTAACTTCAGCGCATTTTCCATGAATTGATCAGTACTTTCCAAAAAGCCATAGCTATGTGCGCTATATTTTTCTTTACTAGCGGCATTTGTGGTTAACATTTCAAAGAAATACCTCCATAAATAAAAAAGCTGGCGTTGAGCAGTTGGCGTATGAGCACATATAATTTATGTGATGTTTGTTTTTATTAGAAGCGTCTATGGTCTATGGTTAACTTTAGAGAGAGATCTTCATAAGATAATAAAATGTTATTCTTGGTTCTCCAAAGCCTCATCTCCCACAATAACATATGGAAGAATTGTTTCACTATTGGATAACTTGCTTGGTGGAGGAAATAAACTTTCATCTGTAATTTTCTTTCAAAGGATAGACTTTTCTAATATACTGCTGTCACCTTCCTTACCGTAGGGGCGAGTATTGTACCTTGGGACATTTTTCAAATTTAATTTTATTGTTTCGACAATATTTAAAATTAATATGTTTAATCATAACCAGCATACTTACTGTTATTATGAGTAATCATAAAAAGATTCAAAAACAGGTAATGTTACATTATCATATTAAAAACTGAAAAGACATTGTTGCAAATTGTCCCAAAGTACAACCGGACGGTATACCTTGGGACAGTAATAATTGTACCTTGGGACAATACTAATTTTATGTTTGGACAGCAAATAAATAAATAAAAAGTAGGCCAAAATTTACAGAACATATTTATTAACGCATATTATACGACATGAAGTCTACTGGAAATACTAATGCGTTCTGATCCCCCAACCAGTGTTGGTTTTGGTAACTTTCTAGAAATATCTGATTCGCTGATTTCGTGTAGGTCTTTATTCCTCACAAATTTGTTAGTATTCATTATCTTTTTTAGATAAACAACCTCAAAACATCTTTCTTCCAAAATCTTTTTTATTTCCACTATGTAATGACCCACACCTCGCTGAAGTTACATTCGCTTTTTTTTAATAGCCTACCAAAATGGTGGTACAGTGACCTATTGGTATTTACATCCCCTACCAGTGGCTATTCGAAAGGGCACATATTCGAGATAACAAATCAATAGGCCCCTTTCATAATTGTGTTCGTCCGTCGCCAGCTTAAGTAGGTATTATGGAAACGTTTTATTTGGGCGATAGCATTTTAAGAAGAATGTTAAGTAAAGTTAGAGGGTTAAAGTGCTTTAAAAATCCCTAAGGAAAATTTTGCGTCGAATTGTGCGTGGGCGGGCAGAGTGTCCAAGGCTTTAAGATGACGGCTGAAGTCGTCGTTAAAACCGGGAAGTCAATGGCATTTTCCGGCGGCTTCCAAAGCCGTCGTCATAATAATTGGCAGTAACGACGCCCACAGAAAAGATTTTCGGCCCAGAAAATTTAGGAAAAATTTAAAGTGGCTCCTGCGGGACTTGAAGAAAATGCGACCGGTTAAAATGTTGTTATGCACCATCCCCCCAAATCTGAAATCCAAGGCGGCGGAGAAAAATGTTAGAATAATCAACAAAATTATAACAGATGCGGCAGTAGGTGTTAATAAATTGATAGGAATTCATCACCTTTTTGATAGAAGAGCGAACAAGTATTTGAAACGTAAGTATAAAAAAAGCTACAATATTAAACAACGATATCAAGTTATGCGAACAAAATTGTAAAATTCTTTCTTTGTTATAGCGACATCCAAATGTAAGGGGACTGAGGAGAATAGCCAATGCTGTAAAGAAGGGAGTTGCTGGATTAGAGGAATTTATTTATATAATACTTTAAAATAAAAATGTCCCTAAAGTCTTTATAATTGCCAATTCAACCGTACTTTCTCTATTTGTTTAAAAGATTTAAAGATAAACACGTCTTGTGGAAAACAAAAGAATTGGAATGTTTTCACGAGAGTTAGTAAACAATCGTGCAAGTCCCACCAAGCTCACAACGTCCCCGGAAAATATGTGAACTAATTTTTGAATAAGTCAAACAGGCCAATAGAAAGCCTCCAAAACGACGCGGTACATTCCCTGGAATAATTAAAGAATTAAACTATTTTGACGCTTCACGTTAATTTCGTTTACACTTTTCAAAATGGTGCGAGTTTTCAAATGTGACGTGCACGATCACATTCAAAGTCCAATAAATAAAAATTCGAGGTACTTTTGGCAAAGGGGCCTATTGATTTGTTATCTCGAATATGTGCCCTTTCGAATAGCCACTGACAGGGGTGCAAATACCAATAGGTCACTGTACCACCGCTTTGGTAGGCTATTAAAAAAAAGCGAATGTAACTTCAGCCCGGTGTTAGGGATTTTTGTTTTCCAATGTAAGTTGGTACTATCCCCAAAGCCAATGTCCGTGAAAAAAAAAGCGAATGTAACTTCAGCGAGGTATGACCCACAGACTTTTTTCCTGCCAATTCTACCAAAGCAAAGTCTCCTTCCAATATCGTGGGATTTTCCATCTCCCTTTCCTGTTCTATTTCCATACTTTCTTCTTCAATTAGTTTTTCCAAATAACCGTCCTCATCAGTCACTACTTGAATCCTGCATAGGCATTTTGTTATTGTCATCATCGTCAGAACTATCATCAAAAACTTTTTTAGTCACTTTTTGAACTTTGTTGTCTTTAAATATTCCATTCCAAACTTAAATCTAAGAAGTCCATGGGTCCGGATTTGCTTCCTCAATACTTTTTTAAAGGCTACTCTGAATTACTGAGTAAACCGCTATGCATAATCTATAACCAGTGTCTTAAGTCGAACACTTTTCCCGACTTTTGGAAAACCACTAAGGTAACACCAATATTTAAAAGTGGAAACAGACATTCGGCCTCCAACTATAGACCGATCTCTATACTTTCAGTACCGGCAAAAGTTTTTGAAATTATTTTAAAGGATGAAGTATTTCAACATGTAATGCCACGAATTTCAAATTGTCAGCACGGTTTCACTTCGGGTCGATCCACAGTGACAAATCTGCTTAATTTTACGCAATTTGTTTCGAGCAGTATGAATCAAGGCGCTAATGTAGATGCTATTTTCACTGATTTATGTAAGGCGTTCGATAAATGTGATCATGCGGTTATATTGTCAAAATCGAAATATTATGGGTTGTCACTAGATTTATTATATCTCTTTAAATCGTATTTTACGGAGAGATATCAATACGTGTGGTTCCAAGGTTATAAGTCCAAACTATATGCAGCCAGTTCCGGAGTTCCCCAAGGTTCGGTATTGGGGCCGGTCATTTTTAATTTATTAATAAATGGAGTAGTAAACGTGCTGAAAAGGTCAGAAATTCTGTTATATGCAGACGATCTAAAA